TGCGCCGCGTCGGACTTCGCCGCTGCCCCCAAATCGCCCGTGCGCCCCGTCGGAGTTCGCCGCTGCCGTCAGAGTTCGTGAACTAACACCATTGTTTAAATCGTAAGGCCACGTCATCCCCGAAACCCTCTGCCTAATCGGCAGCCCTCAAAATTTACCTAGCACAGCATTGAGTTATGGCGTTAGTTATGGAAAAGGAAATGATACCTAGCCCTCCAGACCCTGTAATCATTGAACTTAACAGGTTGGAGAACAATCTCAGAGGTAATAACTTTACCAAATTCTCTCTTATTATCAACTACTGTCATGAATTTGGTTCTCTCTTTATTGCGGTGTTTATTACCGTTCCTTTTGCACTGATCTCCTCAATTATGTTTTCTAAGCTTGGTGGCCATTTATCTTTTTATTTGAAGATATCATTATAGGATTATCACCTACATGGTTATTGTAAGATCCCCGTTCTTTGGTCTCTTCGCATATCTGTTTGTGTTGTGTAGTTTCAGTTGTATTGGAAAATGTTGGGTTTCTTTTTCCTTGCGTTTATATTCATTTAGTTAATAATTTATTGATGTGCAATGACATTTTCCAAAAAAAAAAGGAAAATGCCTCTTGAAATAGTTGTTACATCTTGTCCGTTGTGAATTTTTGGTTTGGCTTTATTTGACCTTTCCTTAGCTTGATACTAGACAGAGCTACTTAGCTAACCCTTTTATCTTGGAAGGTTGTCGAGTTACGGATTTGAGAATGGTATATATTTTTCTCATGATAGGAGTTAAGAAACATCTGATCGATTACCATTGGTTGAGTTTGGCTTCACTTTGTTTTCATCTTTCCTTCCTTTCAATTGTGGTTTTCCTACTATGGACATACCTTGTAATTGGGATTTTGCTCTTGTGTATTCTTCTATTTAACTCCCTTAACTATGGGGTTATTTATTAGGTAGGTAATTTTATTTGTTATACATTTGGATGATGCATGCGCATGGTATTGTAATACAACTGCATTTTAAAGCTAATAAACTCTTTGTTTACTCCAGATAATAGTGCAAGCTACTTTCAACTACTATAAACTTTGCTCATCTCGTCTCAAACTTTAATATCATGTCATGTTACCGAGCAACCATACCTTGTTTATCACTGACTCTGGCAGAAACTTGCAAGCAAATATTTGAGACTAAGAAATGAATCTAATTGTTATATCCTTAATGATCTAATGTCTGATACATGTTGAATTACACACTTATATTCCCTTTGGTCGACTGAGAATTTTCTCCAAGTTTCGATCGTACCCTGTTCTTGATAGTACTTGCATATTGGCTCCTCAACACACAAACCATCAATAAAATATATTCAAAATAAAATCAAAATCAATTGAGTATTCAATTTAAACATAGTGAATATGCAGATAGTATATGGTATCAACTAGATCAAGCAAGTTTCCAAGGTGAGTGGCTATGTCAGGAGTGATCATAAGTTCAAAGTATATGATAGCTTCTCTTGAGCTATCATGAAATCAGAAAACTGTGATTTGTAAGAATGATTTCGTTGCACGCTGTTTACTTCTGTTGCCAACTTATTGTATTTATTGGTCTACAGAAAAGAACAGGGAGCTGGAGTTGCTCACTGTGAAATTAAGGCCTTGAAGGTGACTGAACTTCTGAAGGATAAAGCTGTAGTAGAGGTAATAAATTAACTGAATAGACAGTTTGCAATTTATTTCGCGAGTGTCGTGTGCTTATCTGTAATCTACCTTCAGCTAAGCAATGACCTTACAAAGCTTGAATTGAAGCTGAGAAATGTCGAGAAACATCTTCAAGATAAGGTGCTTGACGATTATTCTCAGCAACTTTGTGTAGCTTTCAATATTTATTTATAAAATTAAATATATAATGCATCACAGAATCTTGAGATAAAAAAACTAATGAATGAGAAGAAAGAGGCATTGACATCACAATTTGCAGCCGAAGCAACTCTAAGAAGAGTTCATGCAAATCAAAACAATGAAGGGTTTGTTCCAGTTGAGGCTATTATAGCTCCCTATGAGTCTGATATTAGAAAGTACAAAATTGAGGTATGAAACCAAGATTGCCGGACATCAATTACAAAGTAAAAGCATTGTTTTTTTTACTGTGTCTTGTTCTGTAAACTGCAGATTGCATCTCTACAAGAGGATATAAAGGCATTAGAGAGACTAATAAAATCCAAAGATGTAGCATTATAGGATTATCACCTACATGGTTATTGTAAGATCTCCGTTCTTTGGTCTCTTCGCATATCTGTTTGTGTTGTGTAGTTTCAGTCGTATTGGAAAATGTTGGGTTTCTTTTTCCTTGCGTTTATATCCATTTAGTTAATAATTTATTGATGTGCAATGACATTTTCCAAAAAAAAGGAAAATGCCTCTTGAAATAGTTGTTACATCTTGTCCGTTGTGAATTTTTGGTTTGGCTTTATCTGACCTTTCCTTAGCTTGATTCTAGACAGAGCTACTTAGCTAACCCTTTTATCTTGGAAGGTTGTCGAGTTATGGATTTGAGAATGGTATATATTTTTCTCATGATATGAGTTAAGAAACATCTGATCGATTACCATTGGTTGAGTTTGGCTTCACTTTTTTTTTTCATCTTTCCTTCCTTTCAATTGTGGTTTTCCTACTATGGACATACCTTGTAATTGGGATTTTGCTCTTGTGTATGCTTCTATTTAACTCCCTTAACTATGGGATTTTGCTCTTGTGTATACTTGTAATTGGAATTTTCTCCAAGTTTCGATCGTACCCTGTTCAAATGATTTTTTGCATTCTAAACTAATTAGCAATATGATCGAACATAGATGTTTTGTTTGCCTATGATATTTATATTTCTGCTGAAGACTTGTGACAATAGAGGATATACTTGAAATTTGCAGAAAACATTTGTCTAAATTAAAAGGCAGTTTATGGCTTGGGTATATTTCCATAAACCTGGCATAGTCTATATGCACATGGAGTTGTGTCAGATCCCTGCTTGGAGGTTCTCTCCATTTTTTTTCTTCTTATGCTCTCATTGGCTTTAAGTTTGGAACTGAAATGTGTATGCTTCTATATTCAACTATCTATAGCTTTGCAGGTGGAGTTCCAGGTATTGGTAAAACACAACTGGGGTATGTTCAGTTTTTCATCTTAGGCACCTTAATGCTGGAACTGATGGTAAATTTGAGCCCTCTGGAAATTTCGGGATCAGGTTGTGGGTGTTACCAGCTTGGCCTTGGTTTCAAAGCTTTGCATCATTCTTATGCTCTCATGTTGGGGCGTTTTAATCTGCCTTTCTCTTTGGTCTTTTTAGTTGAAGTGTGCAGTATTCTTATCCGGCTGAATGTCTAGCTGCTGACATTCAGACCGGAGGAGATTTCTTCAATCTTGGTCCTGGTCTTTGCTGCAATTTGTAGGTTCTAATACAATGGCTTACAGATCTGCCTTTGTGTCAGACATTTTGCTTTCTTAGCAGTATCCTCATCCAATGGTCTGTGTCTTTTGCAAGAGTAGTCACTTTCGTTCAATGGTCTATTTATACTAATAATGACTTTGGTTCAAATCCATGTAAGCACAAGTTTCTTTGCAAATAATCAAAATTTCCCCTAACTATATGCTTGTTGCCTGCCTTTTGCTTCCTCCGTTATTTTTTCCCCCCTGCATATTTAGAGAACCAAAACTGTGATTGATATCGAAATTTCAACCCTGCACTAGACACCCTCATGCTTTCATCTAACACTAAACTTTATTGTTTTAGTCCGTGTGGGGGATAAATATTTCCAATTGTTCTTTCTGACTGTTGCTTTGAGAAGAGGTGACCAAATGAACATCCTGCATACCTATTTATGATGACATTTACTTTTTATTAAGACTAGTGAAACAACTACCATCAAATTGATCAGTTTTTCACCATACGAGTTAGATTGAGGTAGTTCCTATAGAAGCTATTTTATTCCTATAGAAGCAGAGATAGCTGATGCTGATAATAAAGAACGAATGTTGAAGAAGAAAATACTAGTTGGAGATGGATGAGTTAGGGTGTCTGTAATTTTCTTTTTGCGTAATTTTTAAATGCCTCTAGTCTCTGTCTGCATGATCTTTGCTATGATTTTTCTTAAAAATCTTGCTTCTGTTTTAAACTGTATAGAAGACTGTTTAATCAAAGAATTGATATCTCTAACATCTCTAACAGGAAATAATCAAAGAACTGATGGAAAGGCTACCACACATGAAAGAGCTCTCTAACAGGAAATAATCAAAGAACTGATGGAAAGGCTACCACACATGAAAGAGCTTATGGATATGTATTGTGGCCCTGATAGAGTGACGAAAGGCTACCACACATGAAAGAGCTTATGGATATGTATTGTGGCCCTGATAGAGTGACTGCAAAGCAATAAATGCAGGAGTTAGACATAGTCGCAAAAACTCTACCAGAGAATATACCTTCATCTGTGAAGAGGTTCACTGACCGTGCCATTCTTTCACTTTAAGTTTTCTTTTTTTCAACTTAGTTTAGTTTTATGTAAATCTTATAATGTGTCATTCTCTGAAATGGAAAACACTGAATATGGCAAACTAGAATATTTAAACAGGCATTTGAGTGTTGACTTAGAAATGAAAATGAATGCAATTATTTTGCAATGGGAGCAAATTCTTTGTTTATCATAATATGTAACTTGTTTGGAGTATAATTTGATGTTTAGTTTCTTTGTTAATGTGAATGAGAGTAAATTTTTTGTGGATGTTCAGGTTCAGTGTAGGCTTGTAGGTGACAGAAAAAAGATATTATTTTTGGCGATGCAAATTAGTGTCGACAAAATTATACTTTTTACCGTTGCTAAAAAAATATACTTTTGCCGAAGCGTTCTTGTGTCGGCAAAAGTATAGCTTTTAGCGACGCTTCACCCTGCGTCGCTAAAAGCTGCACTTTTGTCGACATTATCTTGCGTCAGCAAAAATATAACTTTTAGCGACGCTATCTTGTGTCGCCAAAAGTATAACTTTTAGCGACACAGAGTTAAGCGTCGCTAAAAGCTATACTTTTGGCGACGCAAGATAGCGTCGCCAAAAGCTATACTTTTGCCGACGTATAGCTTTTGTTGACGCTGCATGCGTCGCCAAAAGTACACTTTTGCCGACGCAAAATATTATGCGTCGTTAAAAGATATACTTTTCCCGACGCATGACGCGTCGCCAAAAGTGTACTTTTGGCGACGCAGTGTATTTGCGTCGCCAAATACTTTCCTTGACGTACTTTTGGCGACGCGTTAGCGACGCTGTATTTTGCATCAGGAAAGATTTTTCCCGACTTTTTTTAAACTTTTGCTGACGTTTTTGTTTCGTCAGCAATTTTGTATTTTGTTGTAGTGATAATGTTAGTTATGAAAACTAAAACTAACACTCTAGGAATGTTTACAAGTATTAATATTACCATTTATAAAAGCATGAATACTAAGAAGCATATCTTGGCACATGGGCATTTAAACCACAAAGAAATTCATTCACGAAATAGTTTTACTTGTTTTACATATAGAGAGCAACATAAAATTTACATGTAGAATAGCTCTATAAAGTTATTGTTCTATGAAAAACTAGAACTAACAATTAGCATAAACAAAAAAGGAAATTCCACTACGAGTTTGTCAAAAAATATTTTTATAAAGAATTATGGTTTTGGTAAAATTTATTATAAGTTTAAAATCTAGGATTTTAATAACAAAATTATAAGAAAGGGCAATTTTTAGAAAATTTTAGAATAGGTCAAAATTCCAAAAAATATTATTTCTAAATCCACAAAATAAAGAACATTATTTATAAAATTTAGGTAGTCTTATAAATCCCAAAAAAATTACTTTGAAGCCAAAATGTAGAGTTTAATAAAACACATATTTTTAGATTTATTATTTAACCCCTATTTCAATCAATACTCTTTTTCTGTTAGAAAATCCTTAAAATTGTGTAAATCAATGGTTTTTTCAAATGATTAGAAAGTTACTAGGAATAATTATTTATTTTATTGAATTAAAGAAAATTATGTATGTTGTATAATTATAGGATTCATTGATGATAAGCTACTGGGAGTACATTTCTTCAAACAAGTGAGAGACATTATTCAAATGAGTAAATTTCATCTTGTTACTTATTATAAATATTTAATAAAGTGTATCAATTATATGTAATGCTAAAAAAGTATTGGATCAGTTAGATTGATAACATAATAGCCATTCATTTAATTGCAAATTCTATGCACTCTCAACCTCAGAATTCAATAACAACGAATCGATCAAATGATCATCTATTTTAATTGACATGGATTTACTTGACAATTTCCATTAATTTCACTTTTAATTTGCGTACTAACATTATTAACACTCAAATCTCTTCCAAATGCTTAATTCTAGATATTTATTTTTCTCCTTTAAGTCACTTTTTCTCATATTCTTTTTCACAAAATAAATTCAAAACCTAAACAAGCAATTGTACAAGTTTAGCAGATGGATTGTTTATTATTTATAATGTTATTAAGATACTCTAAACCTTTATTATTTCCCGTGAAGGCAAGAGTTCTAAACCAACAAGGTTATACCCAGAGACATTCGAAAAGTTTTAATATATTTTAAACTATTTCCCAACCTAATTATAGTAAATAAAAACTCAAAAAAAATAACCACGTGCAATGCACATGCATCTCACCTAATATCTCTTAAGTTTAGAGGTTATCAGAATGCCCCCTTTAACTTCATCATTTTATCCCCTAAACCACCACCAACAGCCAAAAATAAAATGTGAACCATAATTTTCACTAGAAAAAAATATTATCACGTGTAATTTCACACCCATTTTAAAAATTGCAATTAACACTATTTAGGGCATTTTGATAAATTCTTAAGGTTGAAGGGCTAACAACCCCTAAGCTTAAGGGAGGGCTTTCTAATATGTGGAAAGTTATAGGAGGTTATCTGATAATCGTACTAAGTTAGGGAGTTTTTATGATATTTAGCCTGTAAAAATGCCGTGTATTATTTAATTAATTTATCATCAAAAATAATAAAATAAATTAAAAGCTTAAAAGATGTAACTTATGTTGAGTCAGATTTATGTACATGTTATGATACTAAACATCCCATGAAGTTTGTTACGTTGGAAAATTTTAGCGGAGATGAAATCGACATAACTTGTCACGTGTATTCTATTTCATTTTAAGATGAATATAATAATAAATAATGAGTACAAATGAAACTCAAGGGTACTAATGTAATTCTTCACACATAGTAGTTAGCCCGACAAACAACGAGCTAACTTTCACTTATACCTCACGTGAGATTTAATTAGGCCTTGGTTTTTCTTTTTCTTTTTTTTTGGGGGATGGGGGGAGGGAGTACGTTGGGGGTTAAGTCATCTTAACTCTTCTATTAGCCTGTTGTCAAACAGGGCCTTAATGTTTAAATAGTTTTTCTTGAAAGGACATATTATTTTAAAAACATTAGGGTCAACGATGACTCTTAATATTTTTTGGTTCTCGATCGTATAGCAAATAGTATTGAAGATTATGTCATAAAGATATGAAATCCTACTTCTACTTTCTATGTTTAATTTCTCAACTTTCTTTTACACGTATCTATTTAGATTCACATTTAAAAAAGAAATATCTCAGATATTAATATATTTTGATATACAAATTGAAAGCAATAAAATTCATATGCATAATATCGGTTTTTTCTCTTTCTCCCTCTTGCAATATTTGTCATGATAACTCAGAAAAAAATAGACATATTCTTTCAATTTTATTCTTCCATTTAAGATTCTATTCTTGTATTAATGTTATCCTAATCTCTTCAAATGGACATATACTATAAGATTTAAACCATTTCAAATCTATCGTATATAGAGGATTGCAAGCGGCAATTGCTCCATACATGTCCTAAGAAAGCAAGGGTGTGATATAATGTTGGTACTGCCAATTATTTCATGTTGGAATTAAGGGGTGTTTGGTTGCATTGTTTTTGAGAAATATTTTCTCAAAAGTACTGACGCATGACATTTATGTAATTAAGAATTTTCTATACATTTTTATAAACTGTGTTTGGCTTCAAAAAAATTTACCGAAATGTTTTCTGTAAAGTGCCCAAAAGTACCAAATTTTATGGAAATTGATTTCCTTCTAAAATGTGAGGAAATCTCTTCGAAATCTGACGCATTCATTATTTAAATAATAAAACTCATTAACTCTTTTCTACAAAGTTCTCACTTTTCTATAAAGTTGGTGGTGTTTGATTACATTTCTATAAATTATAGGAAATGTTGCTATTTTCCCAAAAGTTATTTCTCATTTTCTTGTTTTGAACCAAACAAGCACAATACAAAAAATAAGAAAATTTGTATTTTTTAACTTCTCAAAACTTTTCCTATAATTTTTTTAAGAAATACAAGGAAATCAAATTTGGGATGGAAAACATTTCCTATAATTTATAGAAATGTAACCAAACACCCCCTTAAGTAAAAGATTAAGTTTCTTTCCTTAATTCTTATGCAAATATGATCTTTTGAGGGGTGTATTTGCAAATTTCTATTTCTTTCCTTTTTTCCTCTCCTCCATACCCTGCGAACCTTTCAGAGCATCTTTTGGAAAAAAAAAAAGTCCCGTAAATTGCTCTTCCTTGGTTTTCCATTTCACGTTTCCTCCGCCTCTGCTCTTTCCTTTGCAAGTGACCGGATCATGTCAGCGATTATCTCAACTGAAAAAAATCAAGATGGCTATAAAAGGGATCTTGATGGATGGAAGAACACAAGCTATTCTTTCTCATAATTCTTTATAATATTAACTTGATTTCTGGTTTTAATTTGTTGGGCAAACATCCATTGAGTAAGAGACCAAAGTTCGCAGTACACTTTGGTGTCGGTCTTCTCGGGGGTTCTTACCGCTAGGCATGGTCGTATTGATCCACCTCTGCGAAGGCGGCGACTATTGTTCTAGGGCAATGATCACACGATTGCCACTTTCTAGGCTTGCGTTTCTAACTTATTTTAGAATCGTTTTTTGATTATTATTGTAGAACTTTGTTTATTTGCAGCGATTTTATCTAACATACATTTCATTCATTAAAGGTCTAATCTATTTTATCAAAACCTTCGTAATTATTAAATTAAAATCTCAATTTTATAAAATTTCTACTTAATACATGAGGTTTACAAGGAAACTGAAAATTACGACTCTATTCATACAGTTTAAAAAATTGGAGAAGAGAGTCTACATAGACCCTAAGTTTTACCTATTTTTTTGAGATGTCCTCAACTATCTATTTTTGATAAAGAAACCTCTAAGTTTTACATTTTCATTCTAAAAAGCCCCTATTTTCTTATTTTAACAACTGAACTCATATGTTTTACCTTTTTTTTTCTAAGAAGCGCTCAACTTTTTTTTTCACTGACAAAAACCCTCAAGTTAATAAGAAGACTTGATGATTTCTTAAAAATGAGGGGTAAAATATAGGGGCTCAATAGACGAGATAGATAAAAACTTTGGGGATTATTTGTAAAAAAAAATTGAGGGCTTCTTTGAAGAGAGGAATAAAATTTAGAGGCTTTTTCCTAAAAAATAGAATCTTGAGGGTTTTTTAGAAAAGAGGGATAAACCTCATGAGCTGTTTAAACTATCTTTTCCAAAAATCGTGAAACCTCCTATAGTACAAAAAAAAGACAATTATGAATATTTGGTTAAGGCTAGGTCAACAATTTGATAATGAAAATCGCTACAAGTAATTTTAAAATTCGTCATTTATCTATAAATATGTAAAAGATATTTTAACAACAATAAAATTGCATTTTTTCGGCTCTAACAAAGATCAGCACATATGGCGCGCACGTGCATTCTCACGCGCGAGGGCCCGCAGTTACGTACATTAGCATCCGAACCCCCAAAATTAATTAAAATTAAATACAAAATCTCCTCAAATTATAGGCCCAAGATAACGTTTTCACTCCTCAAACAACTTCCCCATTTTGCCCATCCTCCGCATCGAAATCTCTCGCCCACTCACTCAAAATATTCGTAATTAACAATCATTCTTTAGGGTAAAACAGTAACTAATAATCTATATATACAGGCACCTCCTGCTATTTGTCCTCGTCATCGTTTTAGAACTCGGAGCGAAAGAAAAGAAACCGAAAATTTTCCCGTTTCTCTCTCGTACCTCATTCTCTTGTCCAAATTAGGGTTTTTAGAGTTCGAATTAGGGTTTGATTTATTAGATATGGGTTTCGAAGCCATGGCCAACGACGCTCCTGTGGTGCCCATGACGGTGAAGGAGATTGGGAAGAAGAAGAGGGTGAGCGTTCGGATCGGTGTCGAATTTGAGGTTTATTTGGTGAATTTTGTTAGGGTTTTGAGAATATTGACGATTTTGACTCGGTTTGATTTGTTCGTGGTGTTGTAGGCGAACAGGTCGGCAAAGTTGAAGCAGTGCAAGCTCGATGCGAGGAGGGAGCAATGGCTTTCTCAAGGTAAATTTTATTTTTTTTTACTTGTATTTTTTATGTGATGGGATTTATGTGGAATTTTGAAAAGATTGGATCTTTTCTTGCTTTATGTGGGTTTTTTCTGCATGGAGAAAAATTGAATTCCCTTTTGCACTTTTTTTTTTGGAGTTTGTGGATATTAGCAATGCTACCGTCTATCTTGTTTAGGATTTTGGGGAAATTTGATGGTGCGATGCTTTCTTTGTAGTTATTGAGTTTTATGCCATCTGTCTCTTTGGCACATTGTTTTTCTTGGGGTTTGGTGGTAATTTTTTGGCCTCTTTATTTCTAGGTTATTTATGGCATAAGAAGAATAAAGAATTTCATACTTTTTGTTGACCTTTTTGAGATGTTCATCTTTGCTATTGCTTTTTCTCTGTTGCTTTTCAGTTACTTGTGCATTCTAAGAATTGTCAAAGATCCATTGTTCTCATTTTTTCAGAAATAAATTTGTTATATTTTTGCTACAGTTCTTTCTGCTGTTTTTGTTTGTTGATTTATAATTTGGTGGTCATAAGAAGATATTCCGTATTCGTTTTCTTAGGTTACCATGGGTCTATGTTCTTCCAGCATATTTTAGGGTAGAGAGATGGATTCATCTGTTTATCTGCTGGTTTGCTTGCGTGATAAATATCTAAATGTTTGGGTGTTTAGCATTTGCAGTTAAGAGCAAGGAAGGGAAAAATACTAATATGGCTAGCTCTCAGCAAATTTCGGAGGGTAAATCAGGAGAAAGGAGACAATGCTGCCGGGCAGCAATGACGAGCTTAGAGCATGACGGATCTGCCCTTCAAGACAGCAGTGATGCAGAATCGCCCACCCATAGCCTTAACACAAGCCATGCAAGAAAGGAGTGCCCCATCAATAATAGCAGCAGTAGCAGTAGTACTGGGTCCTGGTCTAGAAGTGTCAGTGACGCTGATGAAGATGGTGAAGATGAAACAGGTGAGAATGGAGGAGGTGGCCTTGATGACTGGGAAGCTGTGGCGGATGCCCTCTCTGCATCTCCTGACAATGGACAGGATCATCATCTCAGGTCTGCTGATTCATTGGCAGTCACTGCAAAGTCGGCAACAGAAACAACAAGATCCTCTGAGCCGATGAAGCAGGACCCTGACCGGACCATTCCAAGAGCATGGAGGCCAGATGATGTCTTTCGTCCACAGAGCTTACCTAATCTTTCCAAGCAGCGGAGCTTCCCTGTAAACATGGAGAGATGCTATGATGCACATCACAACCATCGAAGTAGCCTCTCTCCGCCACCATCGTCATGCCCTATATGCTATGAGGACCTGGACCTCACCGACTCGAGCTTTCTCCCTTGCTCTTGTGGTTTCCGCCTCTGCCTTTTCTGTCACAAGAGGATACTTGAGGCTGATGCGCGCTGCCCTGGGTGTCGGAAACAGTACAATCCTCTGTCAGGCGATGAGGAGATTGGCATCATTACTGGAGTAGGGTTGCCTCCATTATCCTACCGGTTGGGTCGTTCTTTCAGTATGAGTTCAAGATCTTAAGATAGGGAGTGACAGAAGATGGCTCGGGTCTATTAGCCTTCCTTTTGTTTTAGGATGGGTCTTTTTTGTGTTGTCTGTTAATCAAGCATACTTTCAACTTGTGTTTTGCTTATAGAGGCAGAAATGTGAATATGGACATAAGACCTGAAGCTCTGTAGGATGGTTTCTTATTATAGGTGATCCTGTGTGTGCTGTTCTTGCATTGTATGTGGGTATGGGTGCTTATATGTGTTGTTATACTTATGTGAATAGATGAGAAAGATATTAAAATTGTCATACGTCAGACATCAACATACAATAACTAGTTATATTGAGTTGTCTGTGATGCTTCTATAGATTTCTGGTTACTTCCTAGTGGAGTACACTTCTATGTCTCTGATACGATTAAATGATGCATCTCAATCTTTATTTTGTATAACATGAGAAGTTTGAATGTGGCGCTGAATGTTGAAACACATATACATATGGTGGGTGATTGTAATACTACATTTGCACTGTGCAATTAGACTATGGGCTCTCATTTTCTACACAAAACAATGGCCTTGCAGCATTAACTTCAGTTTGTATTTTTATTCTTTAATAGTGTTTTTGTATGTTTCCTTGTGGTTTACAGATCCATTAAAGGATCGCCATGGAAGCATATTGAAAGGATCTCACGTAGGTATGGGGCGATACTTATTTATTTATTTATTTGGTTCTGTTAAAGATTGTGAACTCTAATATATTTTCTCACTAACTGCTGATGTTGTCAATAATCTGTGCAGGTTGAATTTACTTTAGATGCTCATATAAGCACTAGTACCAGTTATTCATGTTACTATTACTGCGTTTGAAACATGCTGGAATCTTGTAGGACATCATCATCTGTCATAACTTAAGGAGCCATTGGAAAACTTATGGTGAACATAAAAGTTATTTGAAGGTAGAATATTTTCTTGTGAACCTAAAACTGATTGTTTCTTATTTCATCTATATGTTTTTTCCAGCGGAGCATGCCAGTTTAAACACATATGCATGTTTAGGCAGTTCATCTATCAAGTTGAACAGTTATTATTATTATAATTATAAATGGGACTTTCTGGATATATTTGATAAATACAATTTTTATCTTTTTTTTGCTTTCTGTTTCAGTAATAAATCTTTTGTTTTTATTTCCTTTGCATGCATGTGCGCTGTACTGCTCCATTACATGCGTAGATTGTTCAAATTAAGGCATTTACTTGAAAATTAAGAAACAAATCATAGTTAAAGGAAAAAGGATGTCAATATGTGGGCTACTTGCTGTAAGAATTTATTGACTTGGCAAATTATCCTTCTAGCTTCAAACTCTAGCTTTTGTGGAAATGGGATTTTTCATGATCTCTCAGCAGTGAAGTTGGGGGGTATATCTTGGATTTCTTGGGTTGGATGAAGTGAAGCCTGACCCGACCTACACTTTCGAATCCCCAATCAGAATGCAAAAGTGAAAGGAGAGAAAACAGAAGTAAACAGCCAGAGTTGCTTCAAAAAAAGTAAACAGCCAGAGAAAGGGATTTAAGATACCGCTCAAACCATTTTCAAAGGTTGTAGTGAAACTCTACATAGGCCTGGTTTACGGATACTTTGTAGTCCTTGTCTTTATGCTTGTCTTTATGCTCGTCAACATTCATAATTGGATCTAATGTGCTGATTGATCATATCCATCTTTGTGTTTCAGGTGTACAACTCTTGGTTATTATTTGTTGATATAGTTCAAACTTCAAACTGAGGTAGAGTATGAATAATTTCTCTTGTGAGAACGTTTTATATCACAATGATTTCTTATCTTTCTTGGATTGCAATATTGCCTATTTCAAATTTATCTAAATGGGTTTGAAGCTTGTGCCCTAATAACTATGCTAGGTAGGACATATCTTTACCAAAACTTAGCGCATCCATGATATGCGTGTCCACCAATGTCTTACACTTTCAAAGATAGAAAACTTTATTCACCTCATAGTACAAGCTGAAGTGTGTTATACTGGCCTTTTGAATTAAGCTAATCTTTATAAATCATTTTTACTTCTTAGCCTTTTCACATGTGAATGGCAGACCTATACATGTACTTTCAGAGTTAAAACATACATATTTATAATAATACAAATGTAGATAATAGGAGGATTGCCTTGTCTGACACCACATATCCCTGATGGAATGGAATCTCATGTCATAAAGTTTATAGCTTAAAAGGAAACCTGTAGCAATGGTGTCTTACATCATAAAGTTTATAGCTTAAAAGGAAGTCATACCTGTAGCCATGGTGTCTCACGTCATTAATGCATTCTTCAATTGTATCCTCCTATTATGTTGAGGGTAGAGGCATGCTCTTCTGATAAGCAGCCATCTTCTCTAAATTGATGTCTGGATTTTGCATGAATGAAAGGATCTAATCCATACACCTCATACATAAAAATTCATGGAATGTCTTGGGACATCATATGCATATTCAATCACATGGCATGTGCTAAGGGAGAATCTTACTACAGTAATCATGGGGTAGAATGATCATTTTAGGCACCAAATGTTGGTTGAAGATGACTATTCGTCTGTTTTAATGTTGGATGCTGGACCAAACTATTCTGGATGTGGATCACTAATAAGGCAAAATGGTCATCCTAGGCATTGATGATGGTATAAACTTCAAAATAATAGCATCCATGAGAGAAATAGGAGTTCTGCATTAATCTTGGAAATTTCTGTTAATCACGGGGAGGATATGTTGTTTCTTTTATTATTAAAGCAGGCAATTAGGTTTGATGACTAGGAATGGGGTAGAATGATCTTTTTAGGCATCAAATGTTGGTTGAAGATGACTATTCGTCTACTTTAATGTTGGATGTTGGACCAAACTGTCCTACTAGTAAGGCAAATAGTAATCCTAGGCATTCATGTTGGTGTTAACTTCAAAATATTTCCATGAGAGAAACGAAGTCCGTGTTAGTCTTGGAAATTTCTGTTAAGGATGCTTTTATTGCGATCTTCTTTAGAGTGTGGAAGTATATCTTTCAAATTTTGGGGAACTCATTGACTGCTTATGTTTGGACTGGAGGTAGAGAAGTGGGGATGGATGATTTTATGGACATATATCCTAAATTCAGATGTCATGTTCTTAAGGCCAAAGCTGATAGGATCTGTGCCAACGGAATTTACAAGTTTTAAAGTTTACCGTAACAGAAATTGCATTCTTGTTTTTGGCTGGATACATATTTACATAATCACTCTTTTTAATTTTTAAATTATGTATAACTTTATTTATCAGTAATAAATTGCATAACACTTCATGGTAATAAACAGAGTTATGGCTTTGAATGAGACCATACCCATCTCTACTATTATTATTGTGACTATAGTCTAGTTGTTCCTCACATCTATGTCTCAGATCTGTAGTTGTATAGCTTAGTTAGAATTCATAATTCTGAAACCTCTTTTCAATCATTGGAAAGAGTCTTGTTACCTTTGTATTGTTGTACCCTATGTCTTCTTTTTACTCCATTACTAAAATATCCAAGCTCGTATTTGTCGATCAATTAATGCTGAAACCTCTTTTCAATCATTGGAAAGAGTCTTGTTACCTTTGTATTGTTGTACCCTATGTCTTCTTTTTACTCCATTACTAAAATATCCAAGCTCGTATTTGTCGATCAATTAATGTCAGCATATTATTGTACCCTATGTCTTCTTTTTACTCCATTACTAAAATATCCAAGCTCGTATTTGTCGATCAATTAATGTCAGCATCATGTTGCACTTCCATATCTTTTTTCAGCTTGCATATGGATATCCCATTTGATCTAGTTATTGAACTTCTAGCAGGCATTTATAATTTTATATAACTAAGTTTGGCTTAATGATTTAACTTCAGCAGGCATTTGACTAGCGTCACTAGCGTGCTTTAAACATTCAAGCGTCCAGGTTATCTTTTCTTCCAGGAGTAGGCTGTTTAACCTTAACGGGATATCCTAGTAAACTGTAGCTCATGCTCTTTAGGGCTTTGATTGTAGGTCAATAATTCTCTAGGGTTTCGATTGTAGGCCATAATTTTTAGGTTTTTGAGTCTGGTTGGAGTCTTTTAAATGTGAAAGCATTTGGTGGTCTTTGACCATTGCATTAATGGTGCACCAAGGGAAGAACAACCACTGGATCAATGCACTTATACCTAAGTCCTCTTTATTATACTAATCCAAGAGAACAATCCTTTGGTCAGTTGGTTAATTGTTAACTAGTGAATATGGATCATCAAAACTTTCTCTACAACTGGAGATATTCCTTGGTCCGTGTCTTCAAAACGTGTCTATCTCTTTCATCCTGAAAACTTTTGAAACATCTGTAACATTAGATTGTCATTTGTTTAAGCTGCAGATCTGGTAAAGGAATCACTTCTAAGTTTCTCCAAATCCCTTGGAGTGCATTTTCATTTTTATGTACACTGCATCTGCATGTTTAACTTTGGTGCTGTGTTGTTTTTAGCTCATTGATATTTTTTATCCTAGTTATTAAATGTTCTGGACCTTCTATTCATTGGCCAGTTCTGGTTCGCTGTGAAATTATTCGTCTTTGAGGTTATGATTCAGAACTTATTTTGCTACCTTTAAACATGTGCGATACACTATTCCTTTTGCCAACTTTTCTAAATCTCTTTGAATATTATTCTCGTTTATATAGAAGACTCCTGGATTTTTGTCAGCATACTTGGTGCCTTGAACAGCTACCATTAAATCTCAGAGTAACCTTGAAAATATATGTTTACTGCATACGCTATTTTCTGCTGTAGAGAGCTAGTAAACATAAATCTTGGATTTGTGTAATCTAATCTAATTACGACCTCTGTTCATCATTTTTTATTGCCTACAGTACATGAACAGCTCGTGTCAGATCTCAGACTTCAGCATTGAGAAATATTTTAGCACTACATACCACTAGCCTCTGCTTTAGAAAAACCAATAATTTCTCAAGAAAGTTGGCTATATTTCTAACTGGTGAGACCAATGCACTTGGGTTCTTAGAAAACCTAGAAATTATGGCCAGTTTTTCTGCGGACCATCTTTCCCTTCTGAGATGTAGAAATCTGATAAACAGGCTTCATACTATAGCCGCTGCAGTTTCTAGATTTTTATAAGCACATTGAGGATATGGTGAGACGAGAATCTTTAATTTAGTTTTGACACATGTTTTAGAGACTGACGAGTTCATCAATGAAGAAAAGGAGCAGCAACAAGGGAAGGAAAATATGCTGTTTATCTAGCGATAAGGCCTATGAATACACCTAAAGGACATGGAGTGTGGCTGTAAAAAGATTGTGAATA